CAATGCAAGAGAGAAGCATTGGTCGGTTGCCTCCAGCACGCTCTCAGAAGAGGGAATCATACGTGCCTGGACCGGGGATTGAACCTGCAACCTAGGTATGCACCCTGACCAGGAATCAAACCTGAAACCTTTTGGTTACAGGACAATAGTCCAACCAACTGAGCCACACCAGCCAGGGCCCATGCTTGTTTTTTTTTTTTAACCACATCCACTTTTGGCTCTGTTAATGGAATTAGATTTTTATATCAAGTTATTATTATTATAGTATCTATTTTTCCATTATATGTACATGTATGCTTGCTCTCCAAATGAATTTTTGCATCTGTATGCAAAACAGATGCAAAACTTTTATAACAATTGTTTAAACTCAGCTCTTTTGCTACCGCTTCTGGCGGTTCTTGCTGAGCGGTGGCAGGTTCTGAAGTTTGCCCTGGTTCTACAAGGCTGACGTAAGACTTCAAGGATTACCTTCTAGAAGGGCACCTGGCACGCGCCTCACGTGAGCCTCGCATGCGGCGGAGTGTCTCCCCATGGCTCCATTGTTCCTGGGGCTGGATGCTGGGAGGAGTCAAGGTGGCCTGGATTTTGCACCTTTGTGGAAAATATGCTCTTTCCTGGCCTAGATACTTGTAGATTTTCCCCTTTATGTTTGTATTTCAAAACTTTTGCCTAAATATGTCTATATATGACTCCTTTTTCACCAGTTCTGCCAGCACGTGGAAAGGCCGGCTGGTCTGCACATGTCCTTTTGAGTTGCTGATTTTGTACTTCCATCACGGTTGAAGGTCGGCAGTTTTGTATGTTCCAATCTAGCAGGTCTCTCGAGCCCATTTAAGTCTGTCTCCAATTTTTTAAAACTAAGTTTCTTATTTGAAAATAGTTGCAGATTCACAGGAAGATCACAGATAGCACAGAAAGTTCCATATGCCCCTCACACCGTTCCCTCTATTATTAACATCTCGTGCTTGGGCGCATTCGTTACAACCAATGAGTCGATATTGACTATTATTAGCGAAGGCACACACTTTGTTCAGACCTCCTTAGTGCTTTCCTCCAACGTTCTTTGCCCATCCCTGCACTTCATCCAGGACGCCCCGTTCAATGAGCTGTCATGTCTCCAGAGGCTACTTCGATGTAGAAGTTCCTTATTTTTAAAGACCCAGACCATATTGAGGTATAGGTCAAGGATTTTGTGGAATGGATTTCAAAGAGAATTTGCCCGGTGTTTTCTCATGGCTAGACTGGGGTTATGGATTTTGGGGAGGAAGACCATGGAGGTAAAATGCCCTTTCCTGGCATCATTTACAGGCTACCTCCCATCAACAGGGCTTATCGCTGCTGGTGCTGACCTTGATCACCTGTCTGAGGCCGTGTCTCTCGGGTTTTCTATTCTAGAGTTACCCCCACCCCCACCACCTTCACACTGTGCTCTTTGGAGGGAAGTCACTTAACAAGTGGGCAGCCGACTCCACCTCCTTGAATGTGAAATATCTGCATAAACTATCTGGAATTCTTCGGCTTAGATTTGTCTATTCTCTCCCATTTACTTATTCAATCATTCATATCAATATGGACTCATGGGGATTTATTTTCTACTTCCAACACTGCGCTGATTTTGTTGCATACACGTCCCAGCTGTGGTCATTGGCAGCTCTTTCTGATGGCGGCTGCGCCCCTCTGAGCCACCTCCGTCTGTGTGGTGGGGTTCCGAGCACTCCTTGTTTCCGGCACTACGAGGTGTTCCGGGCTCTAGTCCCTGTCTCAGTTCCAGTGTCAGGCATTTCTCCAAGGAACCCTGGTTCCTTTTCCTTGAGAATGGAATTAGAAACCAAGATCTGGGTGCCAGGTATGACTACTGATGCTGGGTGCCTTTTTTTAAAATTTTGCTTCTGTTTCATTTGTCCTGATTTTCCCTTAGGACCTCCCTTCTCCAGCATCCATAACTGTTACCTTTCCTCTCATCAGATTGATTTCTTTGACCATTTTCTCTGCATCTTGTGCTCTGTATTATTCATTTTTTATTTTCCTTGGCATTAACTCTGCTTTCTACTACCTCCAATGCAGACTTTAATTCTATAATTTGCTATTTAGTTTCTTCCTTGTCCTTGGTACCTCCTTCTCTATCTTATCCCACAGTAAATCACAGATTTGCTTTTTCTCAGGGCTTTCCAGAAATTACATTTCTTTGTTCTTGAGTATTTTATCGTTGCATTCTGCTTGCTTTGTCTGTCCCAGACTTGGTATTTTACTTATACATACCCAACAGATTTATTGAGCAAATTAGATCTGGCCCTAGATGATGGGTGGGGGATTAAAACAGCGACCACGACAGAGAGCAGCCGCTGTCCCCTGGAGCTCACACCACAGTGGGAGAACAGAGAGGGCGAAACAACTGGGTGAAATGAAACGTGGGTCAGACGTCAGTGGTTGAGTTGTTTCCCCAAAGAACTGTTAAAATCCTAACCCCCAACACCTCAGGATGTGACCCCATTCAAAACAGGGTCATTACAGATGTCATTAGCTAGGACGAGGTCTTAGTAGAGTAGGGTAGGCTCTTAATATAAGATGACTCAAGTCCTAACACAAAGACAGTGTGAAGAGGAAGAGGGAAAATGTCACTTGAGGCAGAGATTGCAGCCAAGGAACACCGAAGATTGCCAGCGACACTGGAAGCTCAGAGAAAGGCAAAGGAGAACCCCAGAGCCTTCTAGAGAGCATGGCCTTGACCTTGGGCTTCTAGCTTCCAGAATGGGAGAGAATAAATTTCTGTTGTTTCAGGCCACCCCCGTTGTGGTACTTTGTTAAGGCATGCCCCCCCCCAAATTAATACAGATGCCCATCAGTGAAATGGAGAGAGAAATGAGCAGAAAGCGGGGATGGGAGTGAGTGGGACAGAGATTTAAATTTTTTTATCTTTTTTTTAAAGATTTTATTTATTTATTTTTAGACATAGGAGAAAGGAGAGAAACATGATTTGGCTGTCTCTTGCACACCCCCAACTGGGGACCTGGCCCACAACCCAGGCATGTGCCCTGACTGAGAACCGAACTAGTGACACCCACTGCCTCCAGTTCCCAGGTTGGCACTCGATCCACTGAGCCACACCAGCCAGGGCGAGAATTAAATTTTAAATGAAGCAGTTAGAGACAGGATAGTCTGGGAAAAGGGGACTACTTAGAACCAAGGAGCACAAAGTATGAGGAGGAACTTTGCAGCTTCCAGGGGAAGAATGCTCCACACAGAAGGAACCCTTTGCCAACCGACTGAGCGTGCTGTCCTTGGCTCTTCTCTTCCCTGCTTGGGTGACACTGGAACCCCTCCTCAGAACCGCAGCTGTGTGGGGTGGAGGAGAGGGCTGGGCCCTGGTGTCGCCCAGATCCAGGTTTGAATTCCAGCCTTCCTCTTTCTAGCTGGGTGACTTGGGTTGAGTTCCTTAACCTTTTGAGCCTCCACTTCCCCATTTGTGAAACGGGGATACAGGTCCCCTCTGTCCAAGGCTCTGGGGAGGATGAAACGAGCAAGTGGAGGTCAAGGGGACCTGGCCCTTGGTTGGCACACTGGAAAGGTCGGCTGCTATTTTCATCACCATTAATATCACTCCTGCTTCTGTCGGAGTTGGTTGGCTGATGAGCAGAACACCCAGTTCCATCCCCAATTTCCTGCAGACTTTCAACTAGTGCCTCTGCTCTACACACAAAGATTCTTTAAACTTTAAAGCCTGCAGAGCTCTGCAGGGCCTCTGAGGCACAGGAAGCTATTCCAAGGGCCCACGCTGGGGAGACGCGGTGTGTGGCAGCAGAATGTCAGTTCAGCACTGGGCCCCTGCCACCAGCCCCACCCCAGGTGCTCGCTCCCTAAAGAGGGCACACACCACCCCTCTGGGTCCTCCAGGCCCCACACAGCCCCTGCCTCAACCCCAAGACCACACGGCCTCCCGGGGAAGAACGTGGGCAGACCCAGCCCCAACACCTGCACTGCCGGCAGGCCTCTCTAGCTACTGTTTCTCATCTGCAGAGGCTGCGGGGCTGAAATGTCCTGTGCAGGCACAGGGTCTGCTCCCTAGCAGGGACAAACCACCGGTGCTCTGCTTCCCTTGCTCCTCACCTCTCGGTCTCCGTCTCCCCATCTGTGAACTGAGACTTTGAAAGATGAGAGCTGTGACCCGCCACCTGCTCTGACTAGTGTAACCTGGGGCCCGCCCAAGAGAGAAGGGCATGAGGGTAGCACAGCTGTCCGGCTCTCTGCCTTCGCCCCTCCTTCCCCGCTGGGCTCCTGCAGGTCCCCATCCTGCTCATCCTCCGTGGCCAGCTCAAATGCTGTCCCTTCTCTCTGGAGCTCCGCAGGGATCCTCTCCCTGGGTGGGGCCAGTTGCTTCCTCCCTCTTCCCCGGCCTCTCTGTTCCTGATTCCCCTGAAAGGTATCTGCCTCCTGCACCAGCGGCGAGCCACCTGAGGTCAAGGGCAGGCCTGATGGTAACTGTGCGCCCAGGAGAGGGTCTGGCACAAGCAAGGTATTTGAGAGAGTTTGCAGAATGAACAGACCAGTGACAGAGACCACATACGACTGGGCAAACTTGTGGCTGACCCTTTCTGTTACTGGAGTGAGCATCACCGAGCGGGTCGGGAGCCTGGGCTTTCAGTCCCAACCATACACTTCCTTGCTGTGGTTTTGGGCAAGACAGGTCCTTTCTCTGAGACACTCCACGTTGGAGATGATGCTAACTCGTGCCCTGCTGGCCCCTCAGGCTGGAGTGACAGACAGACAGTCACTGAGTAAGATTTATACGGCCACGCAGCTGGCTCTCAGACCTTTGGCCAGGGCTGGACAACAAGCAAAAGGAAAGCCAAGGGAAGCCAGCTCCTGGGAGCTTCTCCCGTGTCTGAGGTGCCCAGGGTGAAACGAAGCAGCCTGAACTCGAGGCTCCTTCATGGTCAGGGGGCTGGGGAACCCCAGGAGCATCGTGTTGGTCTGTCCTTCAGACTGTGACTAGCTGTACTTACCTTAAGCTTCTTGACACTGGTGCAGGGGTCGTTGGAGAAGCTCTCGGTGTCTGAAATCTCGATGTCCTCACCGTACAGCACCCCGGTCAGGTCATTCCTCACCTGTCAGCAGAGAGAAGGGGGAGAGTGGGTGAGCTGGAGGCCACAGGAAGGGCTGGTTCAGAGACAGCGTCCTGGTGAGGGGGCTCAAATGGGTGAGGTGGTTTTCTCCACCAACACGGGAAAGGAGTGGTTTTTATCTTCATTATAAAATGGAGCGCCCTGTGGGGCCCTGGAGGCCCCCCAGCCCCACACGACACCAGGCACAGGGGCATGAGGAGGCCAGGCGGGGAAGGGGCTCACTAAGGTTGCCCAGGAACTGCCCGGGAGAATCAACACGAGCAGCCAAGTCCCTGGACGTCTATGCTGGTGTTTCTCCAGCGTCACACTGTGTCCAAATCGGACTACACAAATACATCTCAACAGTATTTATATTTTGTTTTTATAATCCTCACCTGAGGATATGCTTATTGATCTTGAAGAGAAAGGAAGGGAGAGAAAGAAACATTGATGTACCAGAGAAACATTGATTGGCTGCCTCCCATATGTGCCCTGACTAGGGACTGAACCTGCAACCTAGGTATGTGACCTGACCAGGAATTGAATCGGCAACGTTTTGACATAAGCAACAATACTCCAACCAACTGAGCCGCACAGCCAGGGCAATTTATATTTTCTTATTTTTTTTTAAGATTTTATTTGTTTATTTTTAGAGAGGGAAGGGAGGGAGAAAGAGAGAGAGAGAAACATTAATGTGCGGTTGCTGGGGGGCCATGGCCTGCAACTCAGGCATGTGCCCTGACTGGGAATTGAACCTGCGATGCTTTGGTTGGCAGCCTGCGCTCAATCCACTGAGCTACACCAGCCAGGGCATATTTTGTATTAATTATTTGTAATCTTGCTTTACTTGGGAGGGGAAGAAATAGCCAAGACATTCAAAGAGATATGCAGACTAGAGGAAAGCGTTCAGGGGGTATGGAGCCAGCCTGTGGTGTTAGACATAACTGCACGTCTGCTGATGCACGGAACGACCGACATCGGTGTGCTGGTAAGGGAGAGGGCTACAGACTCCGCAGTTCACCGAGGCCAGCCAGCAGGGAAACAGTCTTTGTGCAAAGACAGCACAGAGCGGTAGGGACTGCGGCGACCTGGCAACCACACGCCCTGTCTCGGGCGGCAGCTCCAATCATGCCACGCCATGATGCTAGTCCGGGGTCACCAGACTTTCTGGTTCTCGGGTGAGAAATCAGAAATGTAGATTTTTAAAACATAAGATTCCCCCAACATTGTAAAATATTGATACTGTTTTGAATTTATAAAGAAACAAAGTAAAGACCAAGCCAAATAAATGTGAAGTCCGTGGGCGGCCCGTGGCCATGGGTGTGCAGGCGCCCTCGGCCAAAGGGCGGCGGCAATGGAGCTGCGTGTTGCAGTGGAAAGACCTGGCTGAAGGAGGCGGGGCCCAGGGTCCCGGTCCTGCCCCGTCACTGACTTGCTTGTGGCCTCTCCCACCCCAGTCTTCAGTTTCTTCCTCTTTAAGAGAAGATAATCCTTAACAGCACTTCTTGTTCTTGCCCATTGGAATGGTTAGCACTGAAAGTGCTGCTGTGAACGCAGAGAAACGGGAGTCCCGTGCACTAGCGGTGGGAATGTGAACGGGCACAGCTGGGCCGGAAAACAGTGTGGCGGCGCCTCGGAAGTTAAACCTGGAGTGTCTCTTTAACCCAGCAACTGAACTTCGGGGTGTAGACCTGAAGGAACTAAAGCAGGGACTCCAAAAGATATCTGTGCTCCCGTGTTCACGGCAGCATCGTTCACAACATCCAAAAGGTGGAAGCAGCTCAAACGTCCACCGATGGACGCATGCACAAGCCCATTGCGGTCCACACACACAATGGAGTATTCTTCAGCCTTGGAGAGGAAGGCAATTCTGACAGCTGCCACAGCATGGGTGACCCTCGAAGATATCACGCTAAGCCCAATAAGCCTGGCACAAAAGGACAAACATCGTTCCCCTTAGGGGAGGTACTAGAGAAGCCACATGCACAGGCAGGAAGTAGAACAGCGGCTGTTCTTCGGGGCCGAGGAGGAAGGGTTGGGGGTTACTGTGCAATGGGTACCGTTTCTGTTCGAAATGACAAGAAAATTCTGCAGAGGGCTGGTGGCGCAGCGCGAATGTACTTGACACCACTGACTACACACTGAAAATGCTTAACATGGTGAATTTTATGTTATGTATATTTTACCACAATAAAAAAGCACTTCCTGTTTCAAAAATTGGTAGGTTCTTCCAATGCGTGTGTCAAAATGTTTTGAATAATTTGGCTCTTGTGAGGAAGATCAGTTACAATATTTCTTTTTTATTTTGAGTATCACAGGATGGTCCCAGGAAGCCACCACCATGGGAGAGGAACAAAGGGGCTTCGGTGCGAACTGCTGGATTTTATTGCTTTAAAAGAAATACGACACAAAAAAGGGCATTTTAAAGCTCTGGGTAGCGAGCCCACGGACGGTTGGTTGGTAATCTGTGCTTTTCTGAGTGCTTGAAATACCCTGTGATAAACGTTTTGTACCATGAATGAAATTGCTGCAGTCAGGGTGAAGCTTATCCATCCTTACTTTTTACTTCTGTTTTGATGGAAGATTGGGAACTAGTTGTACATAAAAAAATATTGAGTTTGGCACCCTGGCTGATGTGGCTCGGTGGATTGAGTGCCAGCCTGCAAACCGAGAGGTCACGGGTTTGGTCCCCGATCAGGGCACGTGCCTGGGTTGTGGACCAGGTGCCCCCTTGGGGGTCAGTAAGAGGCAACCGATCGATGTTTCTCTCACACATCAATGTTTTTCTCTCCCTCCCTTCCCCTCTCTCTGAAAATAAAGGCACACAATCTTTAAAAAAAGTGGACTTGGTCATTACAGTTTACTTCTGCTGCCTCACCTTCTCCCTGGGTGCAGCGGGGCCCAGGACCTGCTGTGCGTGGCATGGTGGCATTGTATACCAACAATGCTTGAACACAGAGAATGGGTGAACCTGCCCTGCCGGAGGGCCGTGCAGCCTGGCCTGCAACACGGCTGGGCTGGAGCAGTCAGGGCCCGGCTCTCCCCTTCCTGCCACCCAAATAAAGCACAACTCCTCCGGCCCTCAAGTCTCAGTCTTTCCACCTCTAAAATGGGAGCAACATAGTGTGTAACTCACAGAGGTGTTTCGGGGCCCAGTAAAAATACTAAAAAGGTGGCTTTGTAAACTCTTCAGTTCTTTATCATGCCAGAACTCTGGAATGATCATTTCCAGAAGTGAGGCAAGGCAGCAAGGTAGCCAGTGGCTTGGGGCATCTGTCTCTGTGTAAGTGTGTGCTTGAAAGCTGTGTATGATTATGGCAGATAAAATATTTAATAGGTGGTCAGAACTCAAAACTAACACCAGCACACCCTAGAGGTCTTCTCATTCTGCCCCTAATTCACAAACGAGGCAGCCAAGTCGGGATGCCCAGGCCAGCGCTCCTCTCCCGCACTGGGCTGGCGCTTCTGGACCCTGCCAGGTGTGGGTGGTTCCTGAGGCCTGCTGAGCCACAGGTCAGAACAGACGGCTGGTGCCATCAGCCACTCCCTGCCCATCAATCAGCACCAAGAAGTCTGTGCCTAGCTCCAGTGTTTATTCTAATGGGGTTTTTAAGGAAAGCCAATGGAGGAAACCAGTAATAAATGGTATTACTTCGGTTTTAAATAACCGAAGATAAGTGTTGTGGGGTTACTTTATCTGAAGTAACCCAAAACACTGATTTGAAAGAACAGACGCACCCCTATGATCACTGCAGCGTTATCTGCAACAGCCAAGCCATGGACGTAACCAAAGTGCCCATCAGAAGACAAGTGGGTAAAAAAGCGGTGGTACAATATATGTGATGGAATATTACTCAGCCACAAAAAGAATGAAATCTTACCATTTCTGACAGCATGGATGCACCTAGAGGGTATTATGCTAAGTGAAATAAGTCAGTCAGAGAAAGAAAAATACCATGTGATTTCACTTAAGTGTAGAATCTAAACAACAATATAAGCAAGCAAAACAGAAAGAGACCCACAGGTGCAGAGAACAGACTGACGGTTGCCAGAGGCAGTGGGGGTGGGGGCCTGGGGAAACAAGGAGAAGGGACCGAGAAGCACAGGTGGGCAGTGACAGAACAGTCACGGGGTGGCAGGCACAGCACAGGGAGCACAGTCGGCAACACCGCGGTCACTGCGGACGGGGCCGGGTGGGCACCTGAAGTATCGGGGGGACACTTCGGAAAGTATGTGATTGTCTAACCACCATGCTGTATGCCTGAAATGAATATAAAATAATATTGAATGTAAATGGTACATTTTAAATCTTTTTTTAAATTTTATTTACTCTTTTTTTGTATTTTTTCCATCACTCTTTAATCCCCTTATACCTCCCATGGCATAAATGGTACTTTTAAAAATGTAAAAAAAAAAAGAATTGATAATGTACTATAAACACAAAGTCACATCCCCAAAGTGTGGCTCCCTGGACCAGTACATCAGCCTCAGTGGGAGCTTATTAGAAATGCAAATTCTTCAAGTCCACTAGAGATCTGCTGAATCAGACCCTGTGGGGTGTGGGGGGGGACCCTCCGTCAGTGCTTCAATCTGCCCTGTAGGCGATTCTGATGGACGCTCAAGGTTGAGATTCCCTGTCCTCCAGGAAACGGGACGGTTTTCGGCACACCATCGGTAATGGTAGGAAACAAATGTTTCTACTGCATATTCCCCCTTGATCAGGAGGCCAGAGTGCACTAATTGTGAGGCAACTGCCCAGAGGGTGAGTGAGAATGGGAAGCACACTCAAAAAGCTATCGCATCCGGAATGAAGAAGCTGCCCTCTGGTCTGTCCATCTCAGGCCAGACCTGGAGTTCTGGGTTCGGGTCTGGTTGTGTCTATCAGGTTCAGTGTGACAAAGAGGCTCTGGTTCAGAGGAGAGAGGAGTGGCTCAGGCAGGAACCAAGGGCCCTGCAGGGAGCCATGGACATGGGGGCTTGTGGGGTGCAAAAGTCACAGGGGG